TATAGTGGGGGGGGGGGAGGCAGAAATATCAATATCTCAGATTCCTTAGCAACTTCCTCAAGTGAGGCTGACATGAGGAAATGGGCCTAAAGAGAAGGCTTCCAGAAAAAAAAAGGGGGTTAAATAACTTGAAATTGTTGAAAGTTTCAACAAAATGTGGAATTTTGGAAGAAGTCTAGCTAAATGACTAAACATTTGGACTTAGCAATCAGACAGATTCATATTCAAATCCTGGCTCTGACATGTCCTCAGTGTGTAACCCTAGGGTAAGCAATTTAATTTTTCTGGATTCTTCATCTATGGGTGTCTTATCCATAGGGTCATAAAAAAGATAAATAAGATAATGTTTATTATGTTTAGCACACAGTAAAGAATTCAATAAATGCTGGCTGAGAAAACAAGAAAAAGACAGGCAAAAGGAAATAGGTACTAAAAAGTGATTTACAGAGAATCCATCCAGGGCTGTCCTCAAAAATCAAAGCTTTAACAAATGGGGACTCCTGAATAAGATACTCTGGAGAAGCTACTTTGTGCAAAGGTCTGTTGCTATGAGAGAAGGGAATATGCTACTCCTCTGTTTAAAACTCTCCAATAGCTTTCCAGCAGGGAATAAAACCCAAACTCCTAAGGATTAAAACAGCTTTACAACAAGGTTCTACCTACCTCCTGTCTTTCTTATTCCCTCCAGAGGCTCACTATACTTTAACTCTGAACACACCTTGCTTATTTTCTCTCCGGGCCTTTCTAATAGCCGTTTTCCTCCCCCTGGAATGTTCGGCACCCTAAACTTTGTGTACTGGGCTTCTTATTCAGATATCTCCTCAAGTATCTCTTCTTCAGAGTTGTCCTTGACAACCAAAGGAGTGCTTCAGTCAACTCTATCCATCATTTCCTCATGTCTTCTTTATGTTCCTGGGCAGCTCTAAAATCACCAGGGAGGAAAGAGGCTGGGCCATAAAGCTCACTGCTTCAGAAACATTTGGAGTCAATCAGTTGGGAAAATAGTTTGTATTCAAAGCCAGCTCCGAAGGAAGACAGAGCAAACTGAACTGAAAATCCTGAAGGTGGGCAGAATTTTTAAAGGAGAAAAGACAGGGAAGTGACAAAAGACAAGAACTGTACGTTTGTAGATTTAGTTAGTCTCCCCTAGACATCATCTTTAATGCCTTTCAGCTTTGGATGGGAGTCCGCAGCCTCCACTCTCATCAGGTGAAGGCTATTCCCAATTTCCAATGGAGGAGGCAGATTCTCTTTCATTCATAGCCCTCATTATCTCAGACGTCTCGTTTATTTCTTTAGTAGCTTAAGACCCCCTACCTCAATAACCGTCTTTAATATAACAAATGCTCAACAAATATTCACTGAAAAATCAACAGCTGAGGGGTAAGCGGATTCAGTTATATCCTCAGGGATCAGAATGAGGCCGGAAAACTTAAGATGAGAACCAAGAAGGCAGTTCAAGAGCAGGTGGAAAGGAAGGGCCAAGGAAGTTTCTCGTCGAATGCCAAAGTCGGGAAGGGACCGGGAACTAACGGGAGGGCCCGGGGGGTCGGTCCGCCGCGGAGAGAGCCAGCCCCAGAAACACTGAACACAGTGAGGCCGGGTGCTGGTGGGGACTGGAGAAAGCGGGCCCGGAGGAGGAACCGGGGGGCGGGTTCATACCTCGCACCTGCAGCAACCGCAGCGCGCGGCAGTAGAGCGCGGAGGCCTCGGCGTACTGGCCGTTGCGGAAGCTCTGGTTGCCGGCGGCGCGGAGCCCCTCCACAGAGTCTGGGAGTTTGGGGGCCATCCCGGAGCCGGGCGGGCACACGAGGGCCGCCTCGGTTTCCCCCTGAGTGATGCGAAACGGCGTCCGGGCGGAAGCACCGGCTGCGACTATTTAGGTCCGGTAGCAAACCCGGCCACGAGGGGGCGCGGCCTTCGCCAACCCGAGACCCGTAGCGCCCCGCCCTCTGCGCGTGCTCAGTTTGGAACCTCTGTCTGCTTCGCGAGGTGGCTGGAGATTCCCCAACTGGCAGCTGGGGAATTGGGCGCTCTGGATGAGGCCAATAAGGAGGATGTCTGCTCTCAGGGCACTTACGTTCTGGAGTGGCGTGACAAGCAATTAAATCATGAGCAAGTGAAGACGCTAATTTCATAATGCGATTAGTGCTCTTTAGGATAATGCCATACAAAGTGACCACGTGGGCGCTATTTTAGATGCGGGGCAAGGGAAGGCATCTCTAGGCGAGTAATAATTAGGTTGAGACCTGAGAAGGGAATGCTGTTCCAAAGGGGGAGCAAGTGCAACAGCCCTAAGGCTAGAAAGAACCGCACACCTCATACACTGTAGATACTGATTTAGTAAATAAATGCACAGATTGAGGGGTGAAGACTTGGAACTGAAAGTGCCTAAGTTTATACTTCAAGCCTCATCTGATGTCCCTCTCTGTCCTACTTGATTTTTGTAAAAAAAAAAAAAAAAAAAATCTCTTTGCTACCGGCAACACTAAGTTCTTTCTCTTACTGCTAGCCTTTCCTTGTTATCCCCTTCTGGAATTCCTTTCCAAACACTTCTACCTAATCCTGAAACAATTTAGAATTTCCAGCTCAAACATCATCTTCCATTCCTGCCCCTGCCCCATGTCACTCCTCAGCCATTGGTCCTTAGGTTTATCCTTATTTTATCATTTATCAGTCCCTGAGTGCCAGTATAGTTTTCCTCAAACACTGAGGTCTTTGAAGGCAGGAATAGGTCCTCTTCATTTTTGTCTAAGATTTAATAGGATCTGGCACATAGCATGAATGTCTCTTGGCAAAATTCACATATTTAAATCCTCTCTAACCCCTAGGGTGGTGGTATTAGGAGGTATTAGGCCCTTTGGAAAGTAATTAGATTGTGGAGGCATAGCCATCATGAATAGAATCAGTGTCTTAGAGGCCTCCGAGCCACTTCTACCATATGAGGACACAGCAAAAAGGGAGTCATCTATGAACCCAGAAAGAGGTCCCTAACCAGACACTGCATCAACTGGTGCTTTGAACTTGGGTTTCTAGCTTCCAGAAATGTGAGAAATAAATTTATCATTTATAAGCTTCTCATTTATGGTATTTTGTTAACAGTAGCCCAAACAGAGCAAGACAACCTGAGTTGAGAATTATTCAGAATTTTAAATTGACAAATTATGATGATATTTACACTTTCATCCCCCAAATTGTTTTCAGCCTTTTAATTGTTTTGTTTTTTGGTATTGGGGATTGGACCAGAGGTGCTCTACCACAGAGCTACATCCCATCTCCAGTCATTTTAAAAAAATATTTTTATTTTTTAAAATTTTTTTAGTTGTAGATGAACACAATACCTTTATTTATTTATTTTTTATTGTGGTGCTGGGGATCGAACCCAGTTGTCTCATGTGTGATAGAGAAGTGCTCTACCACTGAGCCACAACCCCAGCCACAAAACATTTTTATTTTGGAGAGTCTCACTAAGGGTCTCACTAAGTTGTTGAGGCTGGCTTTGAATTTGTGATCCTCCTATCTCTGCCTCCTGAGTAGCTGGAATTACAGATGTGCACTACCACACTGGGCAGCCTCATGGTTTTGAATCAACATATAAAAGCATTGGCTGAGCCTGGATTGTGCAAATAAAGACATATCCTAATTCTAACACATTTTTACTTGCCAATATTCTCTCAATCTGTTTAAAGGAACTACCAGTTAACAGTGGGAAAAAGTGTTTAAATGAAATAAATTCTACAAATAATTGTCCAATAACACCTGTATACATTAGCCCACTAAGACTACAGTTACATACCTATTCCTTCCCTAGTAGAGCTGCATACATAATGTGGCCTTGATGAAATGGTTAACTCTGAGTTGAAAATCTGTCAGCTGCCACTGTAATCCCAGCGACTTGGGAGGCCAAGGCAGGAAGGTCACAAGTTTGACCTGGGCAATTTAGGGAGATTTTGTCTCAAACTGAAAAGGATTCGAGATGTAATTTAGTGGTAGAGCACCCCCCCCCCCACTTCAATCCTCAGTATGGGAGGGGAAGTCACCTGCTAAAAAGTCACAACCCAAAGATATATCAGCTGATAAATTAAAAAGACATGCAAAAATGTATGCAATGGAATAAACCTACTGTGCTTGGCTGAGGGTTGCTATTTAGATTTAAATAAAATTTAAAATTCGTTTTTTCATTCACATTAATCAGGTAAGACTAGTGGCTACCATTTTGGACAGCACATACACAGAACATTTTCATTACTGCAGAAATATTTACTGGGCACTACTGGGCTGAATCTGTGGAAAGAGGCCATCACGTCAGTCCATTACAGAAAAATCCTAGGAAGAGGACAAAGGAGGGATGTTTTTGTGTATCAGCTGAAACTAGAGTTCAACTAGTGAAGAAGTAGAAGACCACAAATACCTCCAAGGATACTTGGAGCAGCGACTCTCCAAAATGTGTAGAACTTGGCCTGTTAGGAACCTACTGTTTTGCTGGGTGTGGCGGCCCAGCCTGTAATCCCAGCTACTTGGAAGGCTGAGGCAGGAGGGTCACAAGTAGGAGACAGCCTGCGCAATTTTGCGAGACCCTCTCTCAGAAGAACTGAGGCTGTAGCTCAACGGTAGAGGGAGGACCCCTGGGTCCAGTACCGTTACCCCGCTCAAAAAAAAAAAAAAAAAAAAATCAACAGTCCTTATGGAGTCTGTGCTTCGCTAGAAACCGCAGTATCTGCTTCTGAAATGGGGAAACTCTGAAGCAGAGATGGGTTCCCAGCCCGGGGAATCCACAGAGACTTCGGCGAAGCGTGACGCAGCCACACTGCTGCCTCCACACACCCGGGCCCACTGAGCCCTCCGCCGCTAGGAGTCTCCGCGGCTCACCCGGGCCAGCACCACGTGACGCACTCCCGCACCACGCGATCCAGAAGCAATTCCCCGCGGCTCCGCCCAGCCCGCGAGCCTCACGCCGCTTCCGGTAGAGGCAGAAAGCGGAAGTGTGGGAGGGTCTGCGGGGCGGGCTCGGGGAGGTCCGGGGGAGGATGGAGCAGTGAGCGGGGCTGGGCCGCTGCCGGCAGCGCCATGGAGACCGTGCAGCTGAGGAACCCGCCGCGCCGGTGAGGGGCCACTGGATGAGAGGACGGGCTTGGGGCGAGAGAGGGAAAGGCGGGAACTGGCTGAGGGGAGACACCTGTGAGGGAGCCCCGGGAGAGGGGAGGACCTGCGGCCGGGCGACTTGGCTGATGGGGCACCTGCCGAGGGAGGGGGACGTCTGGCGGGTGAAGGTCCCACAAAGCTGCTGAGCTCGTTAAACGCGGGGCTGGTTTGAGGAGGCGCTCGCGTTGGGGGTCCTGTCCTGAGGAACGTGGCGGCAAGTTGGGCAGACACCTGCCGAGGCCCGGGGCCCCGGGCCCCGGGGCAAGGCTCTCGCCCAGGGAGCGCCGAGGCTGGGGGATGCGGAGGCTGGCTGAGAGCCGGCGAGGGGCGTGTAAGTGACGCGGGGGGAAAGCGATGGACGTTTTAAGGGTCCTCAGTGCCACCTGAGGGGGGCGTGCAGTCGGGGGAAGGCGTTGCGCGGAAGAGCAGTGCCGCGGAGGCCGAAATTGCGCGAAAACAAGGTCGAGGTTCCAGCCGCGGAGAAGTTGATGGAGGATAGCATTTAGGAGGGTGTTCTTGGTGGTGTGCCCACTGAGGGATGCTGGTGGCATCCTTTACTGATGCCCGGAGTGCCTTCCTACTTTCCTCCACACCCTTCTCAGCCCCTCAAAACCCAACTTTGGGAGGTAGATAAGGAAATAAGATCTTTTCAGGCTGGGCAAGCTGGGGTCCCTGAGTTAAGACACATGGACCCGGCGACCATTAGTTCCAGATCCCAGTGGTACCCGGAATAGTTTTGGGTTAAGATCAGGGAGGTGGTTGATCTTGGAAAGTCTGAACTCCGGAGTTGGTTGTAGTTGTATCGTGGATTCCTGCTGTAGACTCCCTGGTCTTCTTGCCACCCGGCCACATCTGGAGAAAAGGAGGGAGCACACACTGAGGTGCAGTGTCATTAAGTTCTGTTTCACGGAGAAGACTTCTGACTTCCTGCAGCAGAAAGAGCACCAAAGTAGGAAGTGTTGAGTGTGTGGGAGTGCCAGCCAGCAGAGGTGCAGGGAAGGGATGGACAGCCTGGGCAGCACTCTTGGGGGGTTGTTTGAAATGCACAAACATTGCAGAAGGCAAATAGCTTATTGGGACGGGCTCATGATTCACCAAGCATAGTGTGTCAAGACTGTAATCATAATCATTACACCCATAGACACTTACAGGGTGCCAGGCGCTGTTCTTCAGTGTCTCCTTGTTGAACCGTGTGAAACTTCGATTTGACCCTTGTGAACCGTAAAAATGGTGGTTTCATAAGGTTCAATTTATTAACTCACTGGATTCTCACAACAGCCGAAATAGGTGGATATCCCTATGTCTGTATTTTACAGATGGTGGAACTGGGGCACAGAGAGGCTTGTGATTTGCTGGAATAGAAAGAGGCAGAGTTAAGATTTTAATGTCCAGGTGGTCTGGTCCAAAGTCCCGGTTCTTAACTGTCTCACTGTTTTGCCTTTCTGGAAATACCTGGTTTCACAGTTATTGTGTATGTTAGAGTATATTTGATATAGCATAGCATCATAATGATCCAATTACACTGTTTTTTTTTTTTTTCCCCTTGAAATACATTTACTCTTTCTCCTTGATTTCTTTCTCCAAGGCCTTCATTTAATTGAAAAGAAGATTAGGAATCCGAGTGTTGTTTCTCTCTCTTTGCCTCATGTTGTGTAATATTGGGCAAAGAGTAAACCTTTTTTGTTTTTTGACATGCTCATTCATTATTCACCCCACCAACCATTACTGGGGATTGAACACAGAGATAAACACTTGCTAGGCAAGTGCTCTACCACTGAGCTATGATCCCAGCCCTTTTTATTTTATTTTTTTATTTTGAGACAGGGTATTGCTAAGTTGCTCACACTGGCCTCAAACTTGGAATCCTTCTGCCTCAGTCTCCAGAGTAGCTGGGATTATAGCATTCACCACCATACCCAATTCATTCCTAGATCTTTTGAATGAAAAAAAAAAGTGTAGTAAAAGTGCAGGAGAAGAGCTTTGCAGGAATGAATTAATGACTGGTGTTCTCTTGCTCGTTATAACTAGTAGACTGCTTAATTTGTGCAGGTGAATTTTATCATCATTTATATTAGTTTGTTAGGAATGTCATAACAAAGTATCATATCTGGGTGATTTAAACAATAGAAATTTATTTTCTCATAGTTCTAGAGGCTGCAAGTCAAAAATAAGGTGTGATGGCAGAATTATTTTGTAGTCTCTCTTTGGTTTATAGATGACTGATTTCACAAAGTCTTTCCTTTGTACCTGTGTTCTCTTCTCAGAAGGACACCAATCATATTGGATTAGGGTCCACCCATATGACCTCATTTTGCCTTAATTACTTCTTTAAAGGTCCTACGCCCAAAATACAGTAACATTTTGAGGTACTGGGAATTAGGACTTCAACATATGTATTGGGGTAAGGGAAAACACATTTATATATGTCATTCTCATTAAAAAATTTTTATTTATCTTATATTTGTGGTAGCCTATATTGAATTCTGTTCAGAAAGAGAGATAAGTATACCTAAATAAAATGAAGCTTTCAGGAGTTCTGAGATGGAAGAAAGAGGTTTGAGAAATAGCCAGACTTCTGAGTAAACATTTCATAAAAATCATTTTTTTGCTTGGAAAGATAACAGATGTTGGTATGCATTTCCAATAGTCCCAATGCAGGAAATGCTCTTTGTGTTCATGAGTTTGACATTTGTGTCTGACCAAGTGAATGATGATAGATTGGTGTCTTACATGAGACTCAGTGATTATAAAAAGTGCTGCCACTTAGTGGAAGACATAGAGTGCATTCCTGGGATGCCAGCCATCCTTGTAACTGTCTGACTTTGGAGAAGAGCATCCTCCAGTATTTGGTTCATGGATTTTGTATTGATCAGGCTTGTTGATTATGAGCAAGTCCTGAAACTGTTTATGACCTAGCTGAGAGAGCTGCATCTGCAGTATCAGGCTGTTTTGGTAGTAGTACCCCATGCCATGAAGACTCATTGTGTAAAATATCACTGTGAGTCACTTATCAAAAGATTTTCCATAGAAATTTTATTTGTCGATGATCTAGTGATTTTTTTTTTTTTTTCGGTATTGGGGATTGAACTCAGGGGCACTCAACCTCTGAGCTACATTCCCAGTCTATTTTTGTATTTTATTTAGAGACAGGATATCGACTGAGTTGCTTAGGATCTTGCCAAGTTGCTGAGGCTGGCTTTGAACTTGTGATCCTCCTGCCTAGGCCTCCTGAGCTACTGGGATTACAGGGCACACCCAGTGATAATCTAGTAATACTTTTTAGGTGAAATTCTGTTTTATTTTGATAACTCACAAAGATGGCGGATGAAAGTATGATTCCCATCTTTACATTTGTTGATCCATTTAACAGACATTTTTGACCATCTTTTGGTTACTGGGTAACAGAGATATAAAGCTCCTTTAAGATCATGTTGTTTTAAATAATCCCAGATCAAAAACAAAAACCCACTTAGATTGTTTTAAACAAGTATCTGAGCAGTCATATAAAGTTTGTCTGCCAAAGTATTATCAGAGCCTTGCAATTGTCTCTCATGCCAGTGACAGTTTCCTTTGTTATTTTGTGGTCTGTGTAGCATAGTTGAAATAGTGAGTTTTGTTTTTTGTAAACCACAAGAGTCAACACTTCAGAGAAACACATTTGATCTTTCTTTATATAAACTGTTTATAAAACTTTATACTTGATGAATAAAGTATTGTCCACTAGTTTTTTTTAATGCTGGATATTGAACCCAGGGCTTTATATTCCAAGGCAAACCCTCTGCTCAGCTCTTGTTATTTTATTTTGAGTCAGAGTCTTACTTGGTTGCTCAGGCTGGCTTTGGATTTGCAATCCTGCCTCAGCCCTCAAAGTAGTTGGGATTACAGGCATGCACCAGCATGCCTAGCCCCTGTCCACTTTTATGTAGTTGTAATTTACCAAAAACCCTGGCATATGATATTTTCATTCTAATTTCTAAATTCATAGAAATTTCAGTTCTGATGTAAGTTTAAGAGGAGTTTCACTTCAGTCTTTTGTTTTGAAGCTGGGAGTTTTTATGATGTCATTGGAATTTAATTTGGGGATCTTTTGATTCCAGATCCCCCTAAAAGGTCAGTGTGTTAATTGTGTTTTATTGATCTTCGGGTTAAGACAAGCTAAGGAAATGACTTTAAGTAGTTAGTTCTCCATTTCTCTATTACATAGAGTTCTTGATATATAGAGTGTCTATTATATATAGTCCTTGATACGTATAAAATTCTGTGCAATTGCTCTCTTGAGGTCAGTGTTTATTGGTAGATATATTTGATGTGGTCAAATTTGTTTTTTAATCTTCTGATTTTCCTATTTTCTCTATGAAAGTATATATTTGTGAATGTGTGTGTGTGTGTGTGTGTGTATTTTTAAATTCAGGTCTTTTCTTGTAAGAATTGGTATTGTGTAGCCAGCTAGTTTAAACCTTTTTCTTTATAAGAAATCTCCAGTGTAACTACTTCCATATTTTACCATTTCCTTAGCTCTCTTTTCTTTGTTGTCCTTTGTAATTTCAGGAAGCCATTGTGTAGACATTGTGCTAACACACACACACACACACACACACACACACACTCACAGATATTCCTTAGGAAGCTCTTTCTTTAAGCCTCTTAATAATTTTTGGAGATCATAGTTTTAAAAATATATTGAATTGTGTGCTGGGGTTGTGGCTCTGTGGTAGAGTGCTTGCCTAGCACATGTGAGGCACTGGGTTCAATCCTTAGTACCACATAAAAAATAAAGTTTTTTTTTTTTTTTTTAAAAGCTAACTTCCTTTAAAAAATATATTGACTTGTTAACTTTTATCTATGTTATGATTGTCTAGTATAGTTGGTGAAATTTGAACTGTCTGGAGATGGTGAGCAGCTATGTATCTTTGATTTTGAGGACTAGTCTAAGTACATAGCTATATGTGGGAGGGTCTTTGTGATGCTGAAACTCCCAACTGCCAAGATCTTTTTCACTTTTACTCAAGTCTAAATGTATACTTTTCATTTTCTGTTTCTGTGATACCTATAAACTTATGTGTTTTGACAAAATAACCAAAACCTTGCTAATAAAATGCTCAGATCTCCTGTTTTCCTTGGCTACTAGTCCAATTCATATTTCAGTACATAATTAACCTTATATTAAACATCTTTTCTGAGGAGATGACTATGTCACTTTATGGACTTTCAAGATTTAAATGGATTCTAAGGATTTAGTTTTTGCTTGAATCCACTGTAGCATTTTAGCCACATGGCAGTTCATTTTCTATTTAAATTTTCCAACAGTGGGGACCTAGGGTCTTAAGGCAGTCAACACCATTGTAAGACAACTTTTATTGTTAGAAGATTCTTCTATATATTGAATTGAAGTCTGAATCGAGGTAACTCCTCACCTTCTGGTCCTGATTTTGCTTATTACGTGACCTATAACTAGTTTATTTCTCCCACAGAATAGTCCTTCAGTGTCCCTTAAAAGTTTCTTAGCTTGCCTTTGTTGTTATTTATTACTAAGGACATTCCTAGGATACTAATTGTGAAATAAGTGGTTCATTTTATGGTTTAGTTGTTAGGAAGTAAAATGCATCTCATGTTTTATATTATTTTCTTTTCACAGGCAGCTGAAAAAGTTGGATGAGGATAGTTTAACCAAACAACCAGAGGAAGTATTTGATGTCCTAGAGAAACTTGGAGAAGGGTGAGTGTGGAGAAAATATAGGTAAAGCAGTGGGTCACAGTATTTTTCCTGCCCTAGCACCTGAAGGATGTGAACCTTTCTCATGAAAATAATTCTTAAATCCAAGGAAAAGAAAAAAATGTTGACTATCATCATGAGTCTAGGTGGGGTGGGTAGTACGTTTACCCTCGGAACACCCTTCTTCACGTTACACTAATCACCATTATAAAAAGATTTAATAGTTCCCAGTCTTTAGTATCAAGGATATCTATTTTTTTTTTCTTCCAGAATCTGGGGTTTGTATTATTTTTACCTAGTTAACAGCACTAATTAGATTAAAATTTATTACAAGTTTTAGAAACCTGACATATATGTTTATTTGCTGCTAATGGTTTCTGATTGATATGCAAAAATGTGGTTTCAGTAAAACCAACAAAATTCAGTGTTTTAGTTATTACAGATTTTGGGAATATAGTAAATAACTCAAAGATGGTCATTACCTTACACCTTCCTAGGGAATTCATAATCCTAGTTTGGGAACCAATGGACTTTTTGGAATACAGACTTGTGAACAAGTTTATAAAATATTGCTGAAATTATATTTAGTAATAGACAGTGGCTATTATTGATGTTTATGATACAGAAAGGGTTACATTACACTTTTAAAAATGCTTTCACATACCCTTTTAATTTAATCCTGATTATTTATATCTTCCATAATGACAAAGATATTAAAATATTAGGAGCACCTTTTCTTAATGTTTGTTAACTTTTGAATAGATAGTAAATTCATATGATTCAAAATTCAAGAAGTATAAAAAGGTATACAATAAAAAAACTTCCCTCTATTGCTCTCAGCCACCCAGAAGCACCCATTATAGCAATTTCTTATGTATTTTTAAAGATAACTTATGCACATGTGTGGGAGAATTTTTTTCCTTTTTATTTGTGCATTATAATTATACATAACAGTGGGATTTGTTATAATATATTCATATATGCACACAATAAGACAGTATTATTTGATCAGTTTCATTCCCCAGTACCATCCTTTCCCTCCACTTTCTCCCCCTGATCCCCTTCTATTATACTGGTCTCCCTTCTATTTTTTTTTTTTTTTTCTATTTGTTCTAATTAGTTATACATGACAGTAGAATGAATTTTGACACATTGTGCACAAATGGAGCACAACTTCTCATTTCTTTGGCTGTACGTGGTGCAGAGTCATACTAGTAGTGTAATCATACATATGTAGGGTAATAATGTCTGTCTCATTCTACCATTTGTCCCAGGTTTTGTCCCAGGCTTGAGGTTTTGTCTTCTAGGTGGTCTAGTCTGTTGGTGATACTTTCCATTGAAATTTTAATTTGGTTTATTGTTTCCTTCATTTCAAGGATTTTTGCTTGATTCCTTTTTATAATCTCTGCCTGTTTATTGAAGCAATCTTTTACTTCCTGTATTTTCTTTCTTGTACCATCCTTTATTTTGAAGATCATCCTAACTATGTGTCTTCTACTCTGTTGTCTATGAATTATATTGTTGGAACATTTTGGTTTGTTTGAGGTGCCTTGTTCCCTTGTTTTTTCATGCTGTTTGTGTGTCTTCCCATCTCATACGGTTCTGAGGCAGTACAGTTTCTACTCTGTAGGTCTTATAGTGTCCCTGAAGGCTTCCAGACCTCACCTTTAAGGAGGAAGACCAATATTAACAGTATCCAGTGCAAACAATATACACCTTTAAACCAAATAGCTCCTATAAAGGCATCTACAGTTTTGTCATAATAAACAGAAGTGATGTGTTCAATTATTGTGATGTGTTCAATATGAACAGTAAATTTGCTAAAAGGGTTTACTGTTTCTAGTGATGGACAATGAAGGAACAGAAGTAATGTAAGATGTGATGTTTATGAGGGAGAAGAAGAGAAGATAGAGGTAAAAATTTATAGTAAGAACGAGGAAGGAATTAATAGAGTTTGGCTGTTAGTATGAGAGAAGTGAGAAAGAGAATCCACAGAGACAGGATAGGTGAGAAAAAAAATATACAGATTTTTTAAAAAGTAAAAATATAAGGATACACAACAAAAACGTAATGTACTATTCAGACATCTCATTGTTCAATAAATTGATGTATGAAAAATATTTGGATTCAAAGATGGTAGAGATGTGAGAGAGAGGGGGAAAACAAACAAACAAACAAACAAAAGCAAAGTCTTGATGGAAAATTGAATGATAGTTTTCATTGGCTTTCAAAAATTTTCTCAGCTTTCCTTCTCTGCTGATAGGTGGGGTTGTCTAAAGTTTGATGGTAGCTCCAGTCCGGTTTGCGTCGGACCATTTGGGTGGGTGAGCCGACAGATAGATGCTGTCAAGCCTTCTTCCAGTCTTCCCACCATTGTAGCCAGTCCCTTCCATCCCCATGTGCACTTCAGGACTCACTGATCTGGAGAGAGCCCAGTTTTCTCCAACCTGTGCTACCCCTGGGGAACTTCTTCTATTCTCTGGCATTCCATAGGCTTGCTAGACCCAGACTGGCCCACACAAACCCAGTGCAATGCGAGGGACCTGGGCTTTAGATTCCATAGGCTCTGCCTTGCTGCAGTCCCAGGATCTCAGTGCTGTCTTAACTGGCAGAGAGACCACCAGGATTGCACTTACACAAGGGAGTGGCCTTGCAAAGAGGCAGCCAGATGGTGACTGCTAGCACACCCAGGAGAAAGACTTTAGGTGCACCAGACAAATAAGACTTGTACGTGGTTAGGTTGGCCTTAGATACTGTATTACTTCCATTTGATTTTGCCTTGTGTGACTTGTGTGAAACTCCTACTTCACCATCTTTGTTTTCTGCCAGTTAAACATTCATTAAGTCATTAGTTTGGTTAATGTAAGGAATCAGATCTTATAAGGAGCTTGCCTTTAAGTGAGCATGATTTCTGAAGTCTTCTAACTTTTCTTTCTCTATTTTTCTTGGTACTGGGGATTGAACCCTGGGGTGCTTAACCACTGAGCCACATCCCTGGCCTTTTTTATTTGTTATTTTGAGACAGGGTCTTGCTAAGTTGGTTAGGGCCTGGCTAAATTGCTGAGGCTGGCTTTGAACTCCTGATCTTCCTGCCTCAGCCTCCAAAGTGGCTGGGATTACAGGGCCCGGCTCTTACATTTCTTCAGATTATTGTAAATGCAATATGTGGAATCATGAATGTTAATTGTTCATATGAGCTATTGGAATTTTGTTTGCCATTAGTATAGGGGGCTAGGCCCAGCTACTTGGGGGCTAAGGTAGAAGGATCCCAAGATTGAGGCCCATGCTACTTAACAAGTCCATGTCTCAAAATAAAATTAAAAAAGGGCTGGGGAGTAGCTCAGAGATAGAACACTCCTGAATTCAATCTCCAGTACTGAGGGAAGAAAGAAAAAAGATAGCACAAAGGGGAGGTCTGGAGATTGTTCTGGTCATAATTGCTAAGTGAGTGCATGCAGAGATCTCTCCATTTCTAATACTTTTAAAATATTGAAATTAATTCTCTTAAATATTTAATTCTTTATTATAAAATCATTTAAATAAATATATCTTTTATAATCAATATACATAGGACCAGGGATAGAAAAGAATCTGCACTGACTTTTCTGCTTCCTGGTTGCCATATCCTAAGCTGTTCTTAGCCATGCTCTTCCACCTTGATGTTCTGCCTTGCCTTTGGCTCAGAGCTTTGAAGTCAGCTGACCAGGAACTGAATCTCCGAAACTATGAATCCCAGATTTTTTTGGTACTAGGAGCACTTAACCACTGAGCTACCTCCTACCCTTTTTATTTTTTATTTTGAGACAGTGTCTTGCCAAGTTGCTTAGGGCCTCACTAAGTTGCTGAGGCTGGCCTTAACCTGAGATCCTCCTACCTCAGCCTCCTGAATCCAAGTGTGTGCCACCACACCTGGCTCCAAATAAACTTTTTTCCTCTTAAAAAAAAAAAAAAAGAAATGAAGGGGCTGGGGTTGTAGCTCAGTGGTTGAGTGCTTGCCTCGCATGTGTGAGGCACTGGGTTCGATCCTTAGCACCACATTAAATAAATAAATAAATAAAACAGATATTGTGTCCATCTACAACTAAAAACAATTTTTTTTTTTTTTTTTTTAAAGAGAGAGGGAGGTGGGGGGGAGAGAGAGAGAAAGAGAGAGAGAGAGAGAGAATTTTTTAATATTTATTTTTTAGTTATCGGCGGACACAACATCTTTGTTTGTATATGGTGCTGAGGATCGAACCTGGGCCGCACGCATGCCAGGCAAGCGCGCTACCGCTTGAGCCACATCCCCAGCCCCTACAACTAAAAACAATTTAAAAAAAGAAATGAAAAGAAGAATTCTGCATCCAGCCAAATTACTATTTCTGAATAAAGCTCAAATATATTTTCAGATATATTGGATCTAGTGTATCAAGAATACCTATGGATGGGACTAACAGACTATTTAGTTAATAGTGGGTAACCTATAAAGACATTTAATAACTAAACAATAAATTTAGGGGTAAGAGATTCCTGAAATGATTAATTGACCCAATAATGGTTTGGTGTTTGGACAATTATAATCTGAATGTGGTTGTGTTTGTTTCAAGCATCATCCTTACATGACAATAGCTAAAGCAAGAAGGGAAGGGGCAGGTGGAAATGGGCCTTCTTGTGTGCTTCTTACCTGGAAAGAAAACCTTTACCAGATACCTTCAGCAGAATTCTAGTCAAATGTCATTGGCTAGAAGTCGGTCATATGCTTGCTTCTGGTTCAGTGACTGACATAATGGAAAAGGAATATTGTGACTGGCTTGGCTAGTGTGATTTATCCTTTGGGACCAAGAACATTGCCATCCTAACAAATCAAGGTTTGTTTTAGCAAGGAGGAAGAGGCAGAGGTTGGGTCTTCTACACAGGTCAACAGTGACCTTTCTGTAGTGAAAGGGTACTTGATGCCTTGTTTAAGCATCATCATATTAGTTTAAAAAATATGTGTGTGTGTGTGTGTGTGTGTGTGTATTTATATGTATATACCCACACATATATTTAGTTGTAGATGGACACAGTACCTTTATTTCATTTATTTATCTTTATGTGGTGCTGAGGATCGAACCCAGTGCCTCACACATGTGAGATGAGCGCTCTACCACTGAGCCACAACCCCAGCCCCCTCATATTTTTTGTAAATACAAGAATTCTGATAGAATTTTTTTATGTGCTCAGCATAGATTTTTTTCAAAAATTTATGTTACTTTGACATTGAAATTATTCTTGAGCATCTTTTTGGCAGCTTGAATGTTCTGCTAGATTGACATATTAGGTAGCACTGTTGTTTTGATTTTTTTTTCCTTTTTTTTTTTTTTTTTTAACCCAACCAAGATGTTATGTGTGTTTGGGAAAGATGAAGGACAGTTTACTCATTTTTTCACTGAGACCCTCCCTGGATTCCAATGAAAAATCTATGTAAGATGATGATGGTATCTCATTGACCATCATAACTAGCTTCTAAGGTAGTTTATATTATTATAATTTTACACATGAGAAAATTGAAGCACAACAAAACTAATAATGTGTTTATAAGTAATAGCTAATCTATAGTGCTGATTTAGATTCTAAGTCTAATCTTAAAGCTTCCAAATTGAATTAATATGTAAGCTATTTTAATAATAAGCTCTTAAGGAAAGATGGAATAAAGGTGAAAAATTTAGTATGTGCAGTATTCATTTGATACTAATATTAACTTATATAATATTTTAAGCGCTATTGCAAGTAAGGGAAATAAGGACAGAGAACTTATGGTACCCATAGTGAATGTAAGGAAACAAATACTTTGATATTGTATTCCAATGTAGGTGTGGAGAGAAAACTAACATGGTATTCAGACACCTCGGTTCAAATCCTGAACCAGTCACTTATTTATTACTTGTGTAACCTTGGACAAATTATGTGATCTCTCTAAACTGTTCACCTTTACTTGTAATGTAGGAATAATCACCTCTTACTCATTTTTTTAAAAATAAGGATACACTGAAATATGCACAGTTTCTAGGAAACACCAGGCATACAGTTCATGGAGGCTATTATTATTTCATAATTCATAAATTTAGACGGGAAATTTTTAAGGAGTCATTTTTTTCCCCAAAGTACTTTAGCTATCTCAATTTTGCAAACGTAGTTAAGTATGTATGTATTAGACACTTAGATAAATAGAATTGTAAGTTGGTTGTATTGTGCCACTTCTTATCTCTTGGCTTGCCTTTGATTTTGTGAATATTTTCCTTCCCCCAATTATAGGTCCTATGGCAGTGTATACAAAGCTATCCACAAAGAGACTGGTCAGATTGTTGCTATTAAACAAGTTCCTGTGGAGTCAGACCTGCAGGAGATTATCAAAGAAATTTCTATAATGCAGCAATGTGACAGGTAAAGATACATGGAGCTCCTTTGGAGAGAGTATGGTTTGGAATTTGCTGTGATTATATTTAGAATATGACACCTGAAGATTCCTTTACTTAGATATTTTTGTAGAAGGGAGAGGTCAGTAAGGTCATGTGCATGTTCTTTTTTAGAAAGAAATATGATGAAAAAGCTTTGTTTTCCTTGCTAAATTATTTTTTCTGTTTTTGCATTTTTTTTTTTTCCTCCTTCAGTGAGCCCTGAAACCAGGAAGAAGAGGCAGAAGGTGGTGCTGGCTTTTTCTGGTTTTGTTTTGATAATGATCTCTTTTTACTTCCTATGAGAGAGTGTTTCTACAGAGACAGCTAAGACAAGATAATTCAGATGATTTTTAGCTCTAGAAACCTTCAACTATTAGATTTGCCTATAAAAAAAGAATACTTATTTATGTATTACTATTCCTTACTTCACATTTAGAAATTTTTTTCAAGCTGAGAGTAGTTAAGTATTTTAATTTTGAGGAACTAAGATTTGCCAAATGTTGTAAGCAGGAAGTCAGGCTAAAAGGCAACCGCAGAAAAGCACGTGGTTTGCACTGAAATTCCGTGACAACATGGTTTCGTTGCTGTGATGGAGCAGGCTTCCCCAGCACTGTTTAGATTAGAGAGAAACATAAAGTTAAGGGCAGTCCTAGCTCCAGGGAGTTGGAAATAGGGATCGAGAATGTTTTGAACTTGAGGTTACATTGGTTCTTTATGGTCAGATCAGCTTGGTATCTCCTATTTTTTAAAATTTTTCTTATTTTAAAAAAGGCTGCAATTTTATAACTTATTTAAAAAAAAATTCTTATTTTATTATTAGTTGTAGATGGACACAATACCTTTATTTATTTATTTATTTTTATGTGGTGCTGAGGATTGAACCCAGTGCTTCATACATGTGAGGCAGGCATTTACCACTGAGCCACATCCCCAGCCCAGTACCTCCTATTTTTTAAAGCTTCAACCTTAGACTTTGAAATTTCTCTTTTTTCTTCCCCCCTTTCTTTTTTTCCTGTTTTTGTTGTTACCATCTACTCAATAAACCTCCATATTTCTTGATTGGATTGGCCAGATTCAGTTAGCTGTTTTTCTTTTACTCCTTTATGAGATCCATTATGGGAACTCTTTCCATTTGGCAAATTGAGACTTTGTCCAAATAGGATATGGAAATGTTCCTAATTAATGAGATGTTTTGAATATCCTACTCTGTAAGCACTGTAAGGAATACAGAGACTGAGCACAATCCTGGGAGTTTATAGACTGATTGGACAGGTCAGCATATATGTGTGCAGGGAAATCTATTCAACAGTACAAAACTGTATAGAACATATTGCAATAGAAGGTACCTCATAGAGGCAGTAAATGCTACAGGAGTTGAAGGAAGGGGAGAGTACAAGTGGGGATCTGAACTTTAGAGATCTGGTCACCCATTTTTTCTTAATATTCTTTTTGTGTGTGTGTGTGTGTTTTCCCTCCTGTCCTTGTTGGCATATTTCCCAAGGATGAAGGAGCATTTGAAATTCTAAGAGTTAATGAAGCCAAGTTAGTTTTGTCATCTTTGGGTTTTCTTCAACTTTATTTGGCCCTAATAACAATCTAGTCAATTAGAGGTAGCTATCAGAAGGCAGATTAACATTGTACTTAACATTGTTAAGAATTGATATGTGTATCCATGTGTCTTTTTGGAGCTTTATTGTACTTACTCTTTTGTAGCCTTTATTTATTTATTTTTAGAAAATAGGGCATCTTCTTATGTTATCAAATATTCCTCTAGAACATTCTTCACGAATTCATGATGTTCATTGTATAGATATATCATTATTTATTAAATTTATTAAATAAATTCTCTAATGTTGAATGGACTTTTTAAATTTTTTATTATTTATTTGCTTTAATTAGTTATACATGACAGTGGAATGTGTTTATGCATTTTGACATATTATACATAAAAGGGGTATAATTTCTCATTTTTCTGATTGTACATGTTGTAGAATCACATTAGTCATGCAGTCATATATGTACATTTAAATGGTACCTAAATTTTCACTTTTATTAACAGTTCTGTGTTGGTAACTATTTCTTTTTGAATGTATATTTCTTTTCTGAGGATAAATTGTAAACCTAGAAATGCTTGTTAAAGTACCCACCATTTTTTGTACTTCTGTTATTTATTACCTTTTGGAAAACCTAGCCCATCTTATGTTCTTAATCAGGAGAGTGCTTATTTTAGCCATAACTAGAAATAATTGATCTTTTTGAGATGGAAATTAGTTTTCATATGTTTAACAGAATTAATTAAACATTTGAAGGCCATTCACTAATATGTGTTGTGTCTCTCTGTAGTCCTCATGTAGTCAAATATTATGGCAGTTATTTTAAGAACACAGACTTGTGGATTGTCATGGAGTACTGTGGTGCTGGTTCTGTATCTGATATCATTCGATTACGAAATAAAACGGTAAGTTCTTTCTAGAGGAATGATGCTGAGCTGGTCTTCTAGTGGCATCTTTTCTCTTGCCTTTTGTTCACATGCTGCTTTTACTACCATATCTAGAGAGCTGACTGTCACGTTTTACCTTTTCTGTGGTTCTTTACTCTTCTTGACTCTTATCATATCCTACAAGTAGCAATATTGACACCAACTCGATCTAGTGATTTTTAACATGCTTTATTTTTTACTGTGGGAAATATGACTCTCAAATCCTGGTTATGGAATGAATTTTGAATGTTTTACTTTGAATTTGGATTTCTCTTTACCCAACATGTTCTTAGATTAATTTCTACTTAATATTAATCAGAGAATAATCTCATTATGGAAAATTATTTGCCATATGTGATTGCTAGAATAAGACCTAAGATTTATGGGTTATAGTTCTGTTTCAGTTGCTTAAACTCTGTTTTTTCATTCAGTTAGTATTTCTAAAACTCTGCTTTAGGCCTTAATAAACATACAACCCTACTCTCATGGTAGTGCACTTTCTAGTAGGGCACCAAAAGCAAATTACTTGGAAATTAGAAACAAAATACAAGATATTGATAAATGCTATGAAGAAAATGAATCGGATGAAGTGGTACAGTGATAAGAGTGCCTGGTGGGCCACTACAGTGCAGTTGGTGGTTGAGAAAGGTCCTTCCAAAGAGGTAACATGTAAAGTAAGACAAGAAGGAGCAGCTGAAGTGCAAGTGGAGAATAGCCAGTGCAAAGACGCTGAAGCTGGGATGAGCTTATCATGTTTGTGTGTTAGAAGGAAATAGACAAAAGAGAAACTGTAGGAGATGATTTGCATTTTAAAAAGATAATTTGGTTTCTGTATAGATTGTGAGTGGTTAGGAGTAGGAGGAGCAGGGGAATTTTAGCCTTTTGGGTTTGTTTGGTTTTTGGTCTTGATAGAAAAATTGAAATAATGATAATTATTAAAAGTATATAAAAGTATTTATAAATTGTGCATTACTGTACAATTTATAAGGTGGGGTCTGCTTTGAAACTTAAGTCATAAATTTTGGATTATTCTTACCACTATCTCCTTTTCTTTATTTATGCTATACAGAATTGATGGTGTTTTCTTAATAAAAAAGCAAGGTTTAAGCTAGGAATAAGGCAAGTATGGTGGCACATACCTGTAATCCCAGCAATTCGGGAGGCTGAGGCAGGAGAATGGCAAGTTTGAAGATAGCTTCAGCAACTTACATCTTGTCTCAAAAAAGAGAAAGAGCTGGGGATGTCAGTGTTAAAGTACCCCTGGGTTTGATCTCCAGTCCCACAAAAGAAGTAAATAAATTTAGCTAGGCAGACTATCCTAATATAAGAGAATTTAAGGAAATTCCAAAGCTTGAGTAATCTATTGATTTAGAAAATGGCACCCAAAGCTGCTTGTGTGCAACATGAAGTTGTTTTGTTTCAGGTATTTTAAAACAACCCAAAATTAATTTTGATGGTTCTTTATAATTTTAATTATTACCCATTGTTTTACCAAATGTTATGATTCTGCATTGTTCAGCACAATAGTCACTAGCTATGTATGGTTGTTGAGGATTTGAAATATGGCTGGTCTGAATCAAGATGTTCTATAAGTATAAAATATGCGCCAGAGTTTGAAAAATGATTACCCAAAAAAGTGGAGGGGGGATGACAACAAAAAACATTGCTTTTTAAAAAATATTTATCACATAGTAGAATGATGATATTCTGGATAAATATGGTTAAATAAAATATATTGTGAAAATTAATTTTAGTTGTTTCTTTTTTAAAATGTGGCTCTATTATAAATATAAAATTATATTGTGACTTCCATTATATTTCTTTGCACAGTGCCACTTTAATTGGCTGAGCTGGTTAGAATAAGGAATAAGTTGAGTCATGAGCTTTGCTCTCTTTGTACCGTAAATTCTAGCCTGTTACCTTGCTAATAGTGTTTGTTTGAACTTTCATGAAAACTATTATTTATCAGCATTGAGGCCTTAAATTACTTAACAAGTTAAATCGCTTGACTTTTCTGTGCCTTAACTTCATTTTTATAAAATGATGATGACAATAGTAGTACGTCTGTCTCACTTAGTTGTTTTAAGGATTTAATAAGATAAAAAAGCAGTATTTAGCATTAAACACATAGAAATGGTTGCCAGTTTTTAATACTATTAGTATAGTGCCTGGTTCACTATAGGTGCTTGTTAAATATTTATTGATTGTGTGGTAAGTATTAAACCATGATTAATCATGGTGTATAATAAACCGTTTGATTTTGTATATATGTTTGTGTGTGTGTGTGTGTGTGTCTGGTGCTAGGGATTGAACCAGGGCCTTGCATGATTACCCAAAAAAGTGTGTGGGGGGGAAAACAACAAAAAACATTGCTTTTTTAAAAATATTTATCACATAGTAGAGAAGCATATAACTTGGTTTTTATGACTCTCAAAGGAAGATGATATTCCTATTTTATATATTGAGAAATTGAGATGAAGAGAAATTCAAGAACTTGCATAAGTCACCATAAGCTAAAAACTTCTGCTTATGAAGTTTATTAGCTTTTGAGTTAGATGTCATATGTGGATATATGAATATGCTCTTTGGGAAGAGATCCTGTCAGGAAATTCTGAGTTTGGGATCAGCCAGCGTGTGGATGGTATTATAAGCTGCTAATGGGTTGAATAAAATCTTAGTTTATAGTCAAGGAAAGGAATTTAAACTGAACCTTCCCTCCTCCCTTTTCTAATGTATTATGTAAATAGATAAAATTTGAATTATTATGTTCTTTTTTCAGCTAACAGAAGATGAAATAGCTACAATATTACAATCAACACTTAAGGGACTGGAATACCTTCATTTTATGAGAAAAATACACCGAGACATCAAGGCAGGAAATATTTTGCTAAATACAGAAGGACATGCAAAACTTGCAGATTTTGGAGTAGCAGGTCAGCTTACAGTAAGTAAAAATATTAATTGTATTGATACTTTCAGCTCTCTCCTGGGAAAGCAATTCCTTTTATTTTTTAAAAAATAATACTTGACTTTGCCAGGCACAGTGGTGCACGCCTATAATACCAGCTATTCAGGAGGCTGAGGGAGGTTGAATCAGGAGGATCATTAATTTTGAGGAAAATGGAAAAAGGTGGAGAGGTCCATAAAATGGGAAAACAGCAGGATCTAGGACATAGTTCAGTGGTAGAGTTCAGTGATAGAGTGCTTGGCTAGCGTGTGAGGCCTCGGGCTCAGTTCCCATACCGGAAGAAAAAGAATTAATTAATTAACAATTTGTTAATAAAAAAAATTGTAGAATCAAAAATAGATTCAGAAGAGCCAGGCTCATAAGTTATTTTAGATCCTTTCTTGGGGTTTAAAATCACATAATTTAACTTTTTTTTTTTTTTTTTCCAGAGAGAGAGAGGTAGAGAGAGAGAGAGAATTTTTTTTTTTTAATATTTATTTTTTAGTTATTGGCGGGCACAACATCTTTGTTTGTATGTGGTGCTGAGGATCGAACCCGGGCCGTACGCATTCCAGGCGATTGTGCTACCGCTTGAGCCACATCCCCAGCCCCTAACTTTGTTTTTAACTCTTATAAAAACTAAAGAAATGATGGAATGTTAATTTAAATTTTTTTGAACTATGTCAGCACAAATTATTTAGTTGTAGGTGAACCCAATACCTTTATTTATTTATTTTTAACGTGGTGCTGAGGATCCAACCAGCTGCCTCACATGTGCTAGGCCAGTGCTCTACCACTGAGCCACAATCCCAACCCTTACTCAGCACGTTTTTAAAAGGAAGAAGAATTAAATCCAAATTATTTTTCTTAAATAAGGTATAACATTATTTTGTTCACTTTCCATGTAGTATTTGACAGTTACTATACTGAAAACACTCTTGTTTGGTTCTAGAATCATCTCTTCTTTCTCTTCCTACCTCACTAGTGTATAACAGTGAAAAAAGAAAAAAAAAAATTCAAAACAGGAAGCCTAGAATTTATCTGATTTTGTGAAATACCCAAGCAGTTCTATAGAAAATAGAAATAATTCTAGATAGGCATATACTAAAATGTGTAACATTATTATATATAAGCTATATATAAGCTATATATGAGTAGTTTTCTTGGGTGATAGAATGAATATGTGTATGTGTGTGTGTGTGTGTAGAGAAAGCATTAGTTCAGAATTTGGCATTATGTATAGTTTTGATGTTAAATCTGGAATATGTTAGGGAATCTTAGAGGTTTCGCAGCAGTACAGAATTGTTTTGATGTCTTAAAAAATCAAATGCTATTCAATATGATGATTTGTGGATCCTCTCAAATGGTTAAAATATACAAGTAAACCATATTAATATAATAAAAACTGCAACCTTAATAAGGAAACCAAATTGAAAAATATATTCTTTTGGTGCTGTATAAGGAGATAATATTAAAATTAAGGATATCCATTACATTTAATAATAATTTTAGTAATTGGTTGATTACTCAAAAATTACTTATAGCATTCTTATTGCTATAATGCCTGTCTTGACAGAATCATATACACATATACCACTCTAATACGTACAAGTCACTATTTTTAGTATACTTTACCACATTATATAACTATTTCCACTGTCTAATTCCAGAATGTTTTTATTATCCCCCAAATAAACTCCTCTGTAGTAGTCGTTCCCGTTCTCCTCTGCCAACAGCCCTAGGAACCACTGGTCTACTTTATGTCTTTATGTTTTGCCTAGTTCAGTCATTTCATTTATATATAAATACATAAATATTTCATATAAATATATAATATATGACCTTTTTTTTTACTTTCTTCTTTTAACATTATATTTTAAGGTTTATCCATGTTGTAGCATGGATTAGCATGTAGCATTCATTCGTTTTGATAGCTGAATAATGTTTCATTTTGTGGATATACCATGTTTTTTTTATCTGTTCATTGATTGAACATTTTGTTTATTTCCACTTTTTGGCTATTGTGAATTATGCTGCTATGAAATTTGTGTGAACCTGTTTTCATATGATACAAAGTTGCTGTGTCATATGGGAACTCCATGGCTAACTTTTCAAGAAATTGCCAAACTGTTTTTCAAAGTGGTTTACCATTCTACATTCCCACTGCTGTTATATGAGAGTTCTAATTTTTCCCCATCTTCAACACTTTATTTCTGTCTCTTTAATTATAATCATCCTAGTAGGTATATGTAGCATTCCATTGTGGTTGTGATTTGCATTTTACTAATGTCTAATGATACTGAATGTTTTTTCCCTTGTGCTTATTGAACATTTGTGTATCTTCTTTGGGGAAGTTTCTATCAAATCCTTTGCTGATTTTTAATTGAGTTGTCTTTTTACTGTTGAGTTGTAAGAATTCCTCTTATATTTTAGATATGAATCTCTTATTGGGCACATGATTTGCAAATATTTTCTCCCATTCCCTGGGTTTTCTTCTCGCAGTCTTGATGATATACTTTGAAATACAATTTTAAAATTTAGGTAATATCCAAGTTCTTTTTACTTTTGTTGCTTGTGTTTCTGGTATCATATCTAAGAAATTATTAGCTAATGCAAGGTCATAAAAATTTATTCCTTTGTTTTGTTTTTGGTGCTGAGGATTGAACGCAGGATACCTCTAGCCCTTGATCTTCTCTCGTTTCTTTCAGCAATGTTTTTAAATTTGTAGTGTATAAGTCTTAGACTTACTTGATTAAAGTCATTCCTAAGTGATTTATTCTTTTTGATGCTATTTTATTTATTTATTTATTGTTTTTTTATAGTTTCTTCTTTTTTTTTAAAGAGAGAGAGAATGAATTTTTAATATTTATATTTTTTAGTTTTTGGCAGACACAACATCTTTGTTTGTATGTGGTGCTGAGGATTGAACCCGGGTCGAACGCATGCCAGGCGAGCGTGCTACCGCTTGAGCTGCATCCCCAGCCCCTTGATGCTATTTTAAATGGAATGTTTGATTATGTTCACTGCTGGTGTATAAGAATACAACTGATTTTTGTATATTATGTCCTGCAATCTTGCTGAACTTCACACTTCCTATTTGGTTTTAATTTATAATGAGTGTATGTGTTACATTGCTAAAGAAAAAAAATGACTTCTTTTTGTCTTCACTAAAATAAAGTGAGACTAGTATAAGATGATCAGACTGGGCTGTTTTGTTGGGGAACTTATAGTTCTAAACTTAGGTACCTTTCTGACAGCTCTTATCTAGAGTCTATAAGCCCTGTAGACAGCCTTCTGAGAAGTATCAATGGATATCAATAGCATTTAGCCTAATAAATGCTAAGAAAATGTTTCTAATTCACAGTTTACTCATAATCTACAATCTGGAAATCCTGTTTCTGCCTCTAAAGAATATACCATCAGCCTAACGCCAAAAGCCAGGGTGGGACTAGGGAAGCCCACAGGTTGCCTAATGTGAAAGGAAAATCTAGGCCCTAATTGCTTCTTTCAACCCAGTATTCCTGTTTTGAGGTCCACTTTCACCATTTTCCAGACTAAATGCTACCAGTTTCTAAGCCTATTGAGTAGGTTGGCATTGAAATCAGCATGTTTACTATTTTTTTTTTTTTTAGAAGATTCCATTTAATAGTCTTTTCAGATAGTTACCACTCAGCCATCTGCTTTCCAGCTTACAAAGCTCTGTGGCGGTGATTTTTTTGTTCTTGTAGATTCATTCCTTTATTTTTATTTATTTATTTAAAGATAGATGCTGCATTTGTTTCTTTATTTTATTTTGTTGTAGTTATAGATGGATAGCATGTCTTTATTTTATTTGTTTATTTTTATGTGGTGTTGAGGATCGAACCCAGCAATTCACACATGCTAGGCAAGTGCTCTGCTGCTGAGCTACAGCCTGAGCCCTGGATTCATTCCTTTAAAAAAAAATCCTCTTGGGGCTGGAGTTGTGGCTCAGTGGTAGAGCGTGTGCCTTGCACATGTGAGGCACTGGGTTCGATCCTCAGCACCACATAAAAATAAATAAAGGTATTGTTTCCATCTACAACTAAAAAATATTTTTAAAAAATCCTCTTGATATCTTTTAAGTGAGTTTTAAGTGGGAGTGAAAATAAAATATGTTTGTGCAATCTGTCTTCGTTACCCAGAAATCTTTATTATTATTTTTGGTGATATTTATGGCTGTTTCATTCTCTGGATGTACCATGATTAATTAACTCATTCCCTACAGTTGGACACTGGATGCCCATTTAAATTGTTTATAGTTTTCCTATATCTAGTTCTGTGGTGAATATCCTTGCAACTATACTTTTCACATTTCCTTAAATATATTCTTAGGATAATTTCTTTTACAGTGAAATTGATCAGGAGATATGTGAAATTCTAAGACTTTTGATGCATATTGCCAAAATGCTCTTAGAAGGGAGTAATTTCTGCTCCCAACTGCTAATTATAAACACCTTTTTTTGTGGGGTCGGGGTATATGGATGCCAGGGATTGAACCTAGGGGTGCTTAACTGCTAGGGCACATCGCCAGCCCTTTTTTTATATTTTATTTTGAGAGATTGTCTCACTAAGATGTTTAGGGCCTCACTAAATTTCTGAGGCTTTCTTTGAACCTGTAGTCCTCCTGCCTCAGCCTCCTGAGTCTCTGGGATTACATTGTGGGCCACCATGCCCGGCAGCCAACTGCTACTTATAAATGTGCCCCTCTCCTTAGAATTTGCTAATATTGGATGGACAGTAAATTTACATCTTTCTTACCATATCTTTGCTGCTGTCTTAATTTTGACTATGGTTTTTTTTTCTCCTTTTTAAAAGTGGTATGTTATAATTATACACAATAGTGGAATTATTGTGACAGTGATACATGCATGTAACATTATTTGATCAATTTCACTTTCCAGTACATCCCCTTTCCCTTCCAACTCACCCCCCCCACCCCGATTTCCTTCCTCTACCCTACTGGTCTCCCTTCTATTTTCATGAGATCTTCTATTTTATCTTTAGCTTCCCAATGTAAATTAGTTTAATCACTATGGAAATCAGTGTGGAGGTTCCTTAAAAGACTAGGAATGAAACCACCATATGATTCAACTACACCAATCTTCAGTATTTTTCCTGGAGAATTAAAGTCTGCATACTATTTATAGAAGCATAATTCACAGTAGCCAGATTATGGAATCAGCCTAGGTGTCTATCAACAGATGAATGGATAAAGAAAATATGTACACACAATGGATTTTATTTAGCCATAAAGAAGAATGAGATTGAGAGCATCAGGTTAAGTACAATAAGCCAAACTCAGAAAGTCAAGGGTGATACAATTTTTTAAGTATAGAAGTCTCTGGATTTTATATAGAAAAATTCATCTACTTTTCTCAGAATTTCTTTGATGTTGTGCTTAAAAAGTCCTTTTCTGCTCCAACATTATATAACCATTCATTCATTCATTCATTATTTATTTATTGTGATACTGGGGCTTGAACCCAGGAGTGTTCTATCACTGAGCTGCACCCTAGCCCTTTTTATTTTTATTTCTTTATTTTGAGACAGGGTCTCATTAAGTTGCTAAGGTTGGTCTCAAACTCGCAGTCCTTCTACCTCAGCCTCCTGGGTAGCTGGTTTACAGGTGTGTGCCACTATACCTGGTCTGGGCTTTGTTTTTTTAATATTGAATTTTTAACCTATTTGAAGTTATTTTGGTGAGAGTGTAAGGTAGGTGTTTATATGACAAGTCAGATTGTTTTTTTTTTTTTTTCTTAATTCTCCTTTTGATGATTTGAAATGGCATTTTAATCTCATATATGTGACATACATAATAGACTGTGTTGTGTATATATGTATGTGTGTGTATATGTGCCATTGTTTCTTTCTGGACTTAATATTTTCTGTTCTACCATTGTACTGCAATACATGTTTAAGTGGGTTTATTATCCACTTATTACTTATTTTCAAAACATTTCTAGCTATGCAAGTATCTGTTTCTAATTGAAATAATCTAGTGAAAACTACTTTGACTACCACTATTTGAAAACACCCCTGCAAATTTGTAGTTTTCAGAGCTAAGGAAATGACTAAGCATTTCCTTAGTTCCTGTGTTAATTTTTTATATAGGTCTGACAGAGTGAGGTCAATTCAAAAGTGTTGCCTCTATCATTTGCTCCCGATTGGCATAACTTAAGTCACAGGCAATTCAGAAGGAACCTGGGACATCCTTTTGAATCTTTAGTTTTGCTTAAAAATCTTTCTCTTTCTAAAGAGAACTGTAGGAAGGTTCTCTTTCAATAGGGACATATACGATTCTGGGGAAGTGTACAAATGGTTGTTTGCTGTAATTTATACTATATTGTACTATATTCACATATTCTTTAAGCCACAAACTAAAACTTTAAAAAAATTTTTTTTTTAGTTGTAGCTGGACATGATGCCTTTATTTTATTTATTATTATGTGGTGCTGAGGATCAAACCCATGTGCTTGATGAGCACTCTACCACTGAGCCACAACCCCAGCCCATTTTTATATTTTATTAGCGACAGGGTCTCCATTGTTTTTAGGGCCTTGCTGAGTTGCCAAGGCTGGCTTTGAATTTGTGATCCCCCTGCCTCAGCCTCCTGAGCTTCTAGGATTATAGGCATGCACCACTGTGTCCAGCTACTTTATATTTTAATAACTGAGAATACTTTTATGTCCTTTGGTCATTTAAATTTCTTTTGTAGGGCTGGGGATGTGGCTCAAGTGTTAGCACGCTTGCCTGGCATGCACGGGGCACTAGGTTTGATCCTCAGCACCACATAAAATAAAAATAAAAGATGTTATGTCCACCGAAAACTAAAAAATAAATATTAAAAATCAATCTCTCTCTCACTTTAAAAAAAATAAATTTCTTTTGTGACTTGTTTGTTCAAACTTTCAGCATGATTTTTATATATATTTGAAGTACAAGGCATTTTTTATTGTTGGAAAATAAACTCTTTTCCTCAGTTTTATGCTTGGTGTTGGTTTCTCTGCTTTCTGTTTTAGGATACCATGGCTAAACGGAATACAGTGATAGGAACACCATTTTGGATGGCTCCAGAAGTTATTCAGGAAATTGGGTACAACTGTGTGGCAGACATCTGGTCTCTGGGAATAACTGCCATAGAAATGGCTGAAGGAAAGCCCCCATATGCTGATATCCATCCAATGAGGGTAAGGAAATAGACAGAAAACCAGTGGGGTGATTAGTTACTATCTTTAGAAGGATAGTTCTATGACCTAATTGATTAGGTTCCAAATAATAAATGAATTATTTGTATATAATTAATAAATGTCAATGTAAATGATACACTTCCACTGACTCTAGTTGTAGTCACTAATTACGTGTGATCTATCCGCCTCCATTTCAGAAGTTGGGTATTGATAGCCCCCTGGCAGAACATAGTCTACAGAAAAAAAAATTGCTTAGTTTGATTTATGTACTTATTTATGCTTTTAGTAGTTTAGAAACCCATATTTTAATATCATAACACCAGCTGGAGTTGAGTAGTGGTGGTTTTATTTTTACATATGAGCTTTCCATTCAGCTAGTCCACATGATTCCTGTTGTCACCAATTATCAGATACCAATTATTACAGCATTTTCTCTAATGGCTTTTTTTTAACTCCTGTCACTAACACTCAACCTGTTCTTTTGTTATCTTTTTTTTTTTTTGCCTGGCCCCTATAGGTGTTGACTCTTTTTTCCCTGTAGTTATTTGAATTTCTACGTTCTGGTTTGTTAATCCCCAGAGTCTTCATCTGGAGGCTCTGCTCTCTTCAACTTCCATCTTCTTTGGGAGTGTCAAGGGCCTGCAGGGCTGCATCTCCACTGAAATTCCTCAGTATCAACACTTTCAGGGGTTCTCAGGCTTTACCATCCCAGAACCCCTCATCACAGCACTGTTATAAACCCCAGACTTGCCTTCTTTGGGGCTCCACAGCTCTCTTTGCACTCCCCAAGTCAGTTCTTCCTATTCTTTCATTATTAAGTTCTCTCATTAAAAGACTTAAGATTTTTAAAAGCATTCATGTGCCCAAAAATAAACTTCTTTCTCTAGGGCACAGAAAAGAGAAAAAGTAGACAATTTACTGGTCATATTTTTAGATTTAAAGAATTTAAGCTGTTTATTGCAAAGAGTTTTATCTTTCAAAAACTGTGGCTCTTTATTTATTGGGAAATTTGGCAGCTGTTGGGGCTGAGGTTATCTTCAGGATATGGATATTCATAGGTGTTGCCTTTCCACTTTGAAAAGCAATATAATGCAGTTATCATTAAAAAAAAAACTTTATTGAGGCCTGGGATTGTGGCTCAGTGGTAGAGTGCTCGCCTAGCACGGGGGGACCCAGGTTCGATCCTCAGCACCACGTAAAAATAAAGGCATTGTGTTGTGTCCATCTACACCTAAAAAATAAATACTTTTTTAAAAATAACTTTATTGATATATTGATTTTGTGAGGTTTAGGGGACAAATCTGCATAAGAGAGAGGGAAAGGAAAGAGCAATATATCAGCTTCTCCAGTTGTCATACTTTGTACTTTGAGATGCTTAGACTTTGGTAGGGATTTAAATGGGCTTATCAGAGAAAAATAATTTTACCAAACTGCAAATGTAATTCCAGGCATATTTTTGTTGGTATATCACACTTACTTTACTAAGTTTTTCTTCTTCTCTTTCTCCTTTTTTTTTTTTTTTAACTAGGCAATCTTCATGATTCCTACAAACCCTCCTCCCACGTTCCGAAAGCCAGAGTTGTGGTCAGATAACTTCACAGATTTTGTGAAGCAGTGTCTTGTAAAGAGCCCTGAGCAGAGAGCCACAGCCACTCAGCTTCTCCAGGTATGAGTCACCTGTCAGGCTGCCTCTCCATTTCATCTACATGCAGACCAGAAAATGCTGTTAATCCACCTGCATGGAGATAGAACAGAAGTATAAGATATTCCCTGCCTTTAGGGAGGTTTGAATCTATTTGAGTAGGAAAGACAGAAAAGAATCTTAACTCATTGAACAAAACCAATACAAGAAAATATAGGGCTGTGTAGGATTAGACATTGAGTGAGCATTGCTGTGTGCCAACTTTGCACACGTTATGCCATTTAATTATCACGTAGGCCCTATGAAGAGTAGGTGTTATTTCTGTTTTATAGGTGAGAAAATGGAAGCTTAGAGAGGTTAACTCAGAGTTTCTTAGCTGGTGTAAACAGCAGGGTCAATGGTAGGGCTTGAGTTATTTTCAGTCCAAAAGTAGGAGTGCCATCAAGTCTGCCTTTCTGAATCAGTGGTGGGTGCTGATATATCTCAGGATAAGAGGAAGTTACTTTGAATTGGAGACACTGGGAGTGCTTCCTTGAAGAGAGAGCTTACATGTTGGGCCTTGAGGAATGGATGGGATTGGCAGGCTGTAAGTATGTCTCATGGTTAGGAGCTTGGATTCAGAACTCTGACTTCCTGAGTTTGAATTGTGGCTGCTTAATACTTTGTGGCTTTGGAAAAATAACTTATTCTCTGTATCTCCTTAGTTTTCTTATCTATAGAATGGGAATTAAATAATTTTCTCAGATGTTGTGAAGATAAAGTGATACAATGTGTATAATTTTGAACAGTGTTTTACAAATGTTGAAGTTAGTATGGCATGAACTTGATAAATATTTGTTATTATTGTTGAGTTAAGTCAGTGATTTTTCAACTATTTTCAGACCCAATGCCCCCTCTTTATAACATCTTCATTACTTTTCTGGAATTAAATTTATAGATAATCTTGATTCTTAAATAGATTTTATTATCTGTAATCTAAAGGTAATAATTTACAGTAAATATTATCTATGACAATGTAGAAATACTCCAGCTTGATCCAATTTATATATATAATGGAACATATACTTGTATCTATCAGCATGAATGAGTTTAGATTTAAGAGTAATAAGAAGGGGCTGGGGCTGTAGCTCAGTGGTAGAGCACCCACCTCGCACGTGTGAGGCACTGGGTTTGATCCTCAGCACCACATAAAAATAAATAAAGATATTGTGTCCAATTACAACTAAAAAAAATATTTAAAAAAAAGAGTAATAAGAAGGTCAGAAACCCATTCCATTCAAGAAGCACAGGAAAATTAGCCAAGTGCGGTGGCGCACGTCTGTAATCCTAGCGGCTGTGGAGGCTGAGGCAGGAGGATCATGAGTTCAAAGCCAGCCTCAGCAACAGCAAGGTACTAATCACTCAGTAAGACCCTGTCTTTAAATAAAATACAAAAAAGGGCTGGGTATGTGGCTCCATGGTACAAAAAAAAAAAGCACAAGAAAATGAATGAGAGGGACATTAGTATTAAACTGACAGTAAGTAATCACAGGCTAGACTTGTATCCAATAAGAGGAAGAAAATGGTTTTACAAAATTTCCAAGTAGAAAGCACAAGACAATATGGTATCCTTGCTAATGACCAAGGTCTTATTTCTAAGTATTTTATTAAATTGTTTTCCTGCTTGGATGGAGTACTATAGAGTTTTTTAGGAAAAAATCTTCTGTATTGTGGTCCTACTATATGTTAAGGCATCCTTTCAATCTCTGGTGTACTTACAAAGAGAGACCTTACACCCTCATGGATGAAGGGGAACATAGAGTAGATTGTAAAGAGAAAACAGGAGACAATATCAGAGTAGTTTGCAAAGCACCAGGCAGTCCCCAGAAAAATTTCCATATGTGTCTTTAACAACATAGACAACTTCTTATTGTGCTGTAAACCCAAACAACAAAAACATAACATGGTGTTAATATTAAAACTTTAGCTGGGCATAGTAGTGCATCCCTGTAATTCCATCAGCTCAGGAGTGAGACATGAGGACTGCAAGATCAGCAACTTAGTGAGACTGTATCTCAAAATAAGGAAAGAAACAAAGAAAGAGTTGATGATGTAGCTCAGTGATAAAGTGTCCCTGGATTCAACTCCTAGTACCAAAACAAACAAACAAAAACCCAAAAAAACCTTTAGCAGTGTCTCTGTGTTTCAATATTGTTTTTGCTGATTGAATAATATTTGGGTCTACTCTATTATACATTATACAAAATACATATGTGTTTTGCAGTAACTGCACTTTTGCACTAACATCCTTTTTACCTAAATATGTAGTTGGGAATGCTCTAGTACATTGAATAGAAAGAACAAATGGGATGAGTAAATTATGTAGTGATTTCTAAACAGTGTCTTTATTTCATTTTAAGCTCCCATCTCCAAAATTGCCTTTCAAATCAGTGGACATTTTGCATATCTCTAGAAAAACATTTTCAGTATTATTAGAGTATAATGTATATACTTTGAGACATTTGAAAGATGTGCACAATGTGCCACAGTTAATTTTATACCTCACAGGATTGCTAGCATTCCTGCCTCTCCATCCTGTGTCAGGTGTGCCCTTCAAACTTTGATGACATCAGGCTCTTAACACATTTATAGAACTTCCTCTAGAGGGTAATACCACCCCATTGAGAATTTCTAGATTTGACAGAGAGAAATGTTGTAGTCATTCTATCCAGGCTGAAAAAGATGGACAAAGGCTGCTGCTGAGTTATAAACCAAGTGTGGTTTAGCTGTTGTCCAGGGCATAAAGAAAAAGATTAGATTCACTGACTGATTCAGTAAGTATTGTCAAGTACCTACTATGTGCTAGACAGTAGGTGTTTTAGCTCTAAAACTGGCTCCAGTGATTTCTATTTCTTTGTTTAAGCACCCATTTGTGAAGAGTGCCAAAGGAGTGTCAATACTGCGGGACTTAATTAATGAAGCCATGGATGTGAAACTGAAACGCCAAGAAGCTCAGCAGCGGGAAGTGGACCAGGATGACGAAGAAAACTCAGTGAGTGGCAGGCATTGCTGTGGGCCTCAGGCCTCAATGCTTGTTAGTTCATGTTGGTCAAGTGTAAGTAAGACAGTAGAAAATACTGGGTCAGCTTGGAACTGGAGACTCTTGTAGTATATGTCCTTAACTGGACCAAGGCTTGTTGGAGACTCACTGAATCTGTGCTTGTTGTTCTTCTGGTGTTTCCTAAAACATTTAAATTTTACTTTTTGTCCTTGTATCTTTTATTCAATGTAACTTTTTACTTGAGAAAATGCTCAAGTGTGAGACTTGGTTTATCTAAGCCATTTTGAGGAATCTAAGATCCATACTTAATATACTTGAAGACTCCCTCACTACCCTGAGATTCCAGGGGTATTCATGTCAGCTCTTAGATCTGTATTGTAGACTCTAATAAGGAGGGGAGGGGAGGAGTATCCTTTAGAATTAGATCCACTCCTCTCGTATGGATAAATTTTGAACTCCTTTGGTTAAATAAAGAGTACTTTCAGTTCTACAAGGTGAATTTAGAACCTAGAAGTTAAATGAATTTAAAACCCAGAAATATTTTTACCAAGATGAGTAATAATAATTCAGAAAACCATCTTTTGATCAGATTAACTCTAACTTGAGATTTTGTTCTACAGGAGGAAGATGAGCTGGATTCTGGCACAATGGTTCGAGCGGTTGGTGACGAGATGGGTACTGTACGAGTGGCCAGCACCATGAGTGATGGAGCCAATACTATGATTGAGCATGATGACACATTGCCATCACAGCTGGGCACCATGGTGATCAATGCGGAGGATGAGGAAGAAGAAGGGACTATGAGAAGTAAGGCTCTGATGAAATATATGAACTTTTTGACCAAGCATAGGCACTTTAGGATTCCCGTGGTCCATGCAGCCTCATTCTTGGGTTCTCTCTTCTATTACTACAACTAAAGGAGGTTTTCACTGGAGAACTATGTAGGAGGTGTGGGGAGGGGGGAAGCTGGCATGTGGAGTCAGAGGTAAGAAAGTGTCAGCAATGAGAGGAATTTTGCTTTTGAACCCAAACAGCCCGTTCTATCATTGAATGTTGTCATTGAAGGTTCATCTGTGGAGGTAATCACATGTTGTTTTGGTGCATAATTCATCTCAAAGCATAATGAAATTCTGGCCAGTTTATGTGTCTTCAGTCTATTTTCATGATAGTTGTGCATCCAACCCAGGTTACCAACACTCAGTCAATTAAAGATAATTGTACAAATAGAAAAGTTCTATCATATTCTTTCAGAAGAATTCACCTTTGTTTTTTTTAATGATTTATGCTTTATTTATTTCATTATCATTTGTATTTATTTTCAAGCAATCATATTAAGGATCTGATTCTTTTTTTCTGTGATTTAAGCCTAACCGTGTGTTCACTTCCATCTTTGGGTGTTTTGTTCTCTTCTCCTCTTTAGCTCTTGCCCTCCTTTTATTCTGATCATTACAGACCAACTCAGGGAGGAAAGGAAAATAAAATGATAATTGAGTTGTATAAGTACAAGTTTAAAGCACTAAGTTCTCTATGATCTTTTCATCATCATTTTTTTCCTGTCTTTCTCAATTTTTAAAATTTAAAGGCCCTTCTTCCATACCAGGGATCTGTAAACTATGGTCCAGGGGACAAATCTGGCTCACCACCTACTTTTGGTAATAATTTTATTGAAACACAGCTATTCCCTTTCATTTATGAGTTGTCTGTGGCTGCTTTTGTCCTATAAAGGCAGAGTTGAGTAGTTGTGAAACACCATATGGCCCCCAAAGCCTAAAATATTTGCTCTCTGGCCGATAACAGAAATTTGCTAGCCCCTGTTCTAGATCCTCTGTATAATTCAATGAGTTTTTTTAGTGCCTGTTTCCCTAAGCACTTTGCTAGGTGCTGAAGGACAGCAGAAAATGAGTAAACCACTCCTTGCCCTGAAGGATCTCAATGTAGAGGGAAAACCATTAATTACAATTCGGTGTATGAAATGAGTTCTAACATAGTGGTAATGTGAGGGTGCTAAAGCAGAGGGGAAGAATACCTAATTTGGTCTAGAGCCTACTAAAAAATTGCTTGAGGAAAAATGCAAGATTGGCAGTATGCAGGTTAGGCAAAGATGTTCCAGCAGAAGGTGCAGTGTACATAAGATCCTAGGCAAAGAGGTAGGCAAGTTCAGGGAGCCACTTGGTTTATTGTGGTTTATCATTGGCAACTGACATAGTCTTAAGCAGAATTTCAGAGAAGGTAAAATCTCAGCTGAAATTTAAAGGACAGGTGGAGGAAGGTTGTGCTTATCCAAAAAATATACAGTAATGTTTTAAATTTTTTTTTATGAAACTCATGCAGGGCAAAATAGCCTTTAGACTTAATTTGTTTGATTTTAAGGAAAACTCACATTTTTAAAGTTTCTCTTAGGCTCCAGATATCATTTGTACATGAAATATTTAAATAATATAATCCTTACAACAATTAAATGGGTTTTGAGGGTTTTTGAAATTTTTAGTTTTAAGTAATACAAATAATATAGCAAAAACTTGTGTGTAGAATTAACTTACTGATATTTTTTAGATTTATATTACATATTCGAAGAATAAACAACCTACAACTTTACTGGTAAAGTTAATGTCCCCCAGTATATCTTTTGAATCACATTAATCATGAATTTGGTGTGAATTTTTTCTGTATAAGTGTACATCCAAAAACAATACTGAGTGCTTTTTGTATTTTTCAAAGATTCTATTGCAGTATCTTTTAATAGGCTGCTGTGTTTGGTGTTGTTTGGCACTAGGGATTGAACCCAGGAGTGCTTTACCACTGAGCTACATATCTGGCCCTTTTTGTTTCTTATTTTGAGATAGGTCTCACTCACCAAGTTGCTTAGGGCTCACTAAGTTGCTGAGGCTGGCCTCAAACTTGAAATACTTCTGCCTCAGCCTCCTAAGTTGCTGGGATTACAGATGTGTGCCACCACCCACCAGGCTGCTGTTTGTAAACAAGGAGCTTTTTTGGGTGAGATGAATCTTTATTGATATAGATTGTAAGAATGTACATAACACGTTGTATTATATGTTTCCCTTTTGCTGGACATAAAGTTTTTTCTAGATATCTGCTGTAATAAACGTGTCTCTGAACCTGTCTCTTGGTAGAGATGCAGTTTTTTAGGGTATGTGCTGAGAAGTGGGATTTGGTAGTTCTCATAAAAATATAAGCACTTTGGTTTATACTGAGAATTCTCGGGGCTGGGGTTGTAGCTCAGTGGTTGAGCGCTTGCCTCGCATATGTGAGGAACTGGGTTCGATCCTCAGCACCACATAAATTAAATAAATAAAAGATTTAAAAAAAAAAAGAATTCTCCACAGTTTTCTTCAATTGACTAATAATTTACACTTTCACTACCAGTGGATGAGAATTCTGTTTTCTTGTATCTTCAATAGTTGACATTGCCAGGCTTTTTGCCATTCTTGAGGGATGTCAAATGTCATTTTTCAGAAATATTTAAGACAGAAACAAATAGAAATAAAATAATCCTTAAGTGTTCCTATCCAGTTTAAGAAATTAAAATATTACAAAAGAAGTACTTACTCTGTGTCCCTTCTCAGTTGTATTCCTTTCCTGTCTTACCACAGACACCTCTCTTGTCTTCAGTTTATTTGAGTTTATTCTCTCTTCCTGGTTTCTTAAATTTAATATTTAGTGTTTTTACTTTTAAACCTTAAAGGACTGTTTTAAAACAGCATCTCACTATACCTGTGTAGAGTGTTTATGTGTATGGATTATTTTTGTCTGTTTTACTTTAAGTTAATTTGTCTATTAATTGCAATACCTGCTATATTTGGACCTAGTTCTGTTTTGCTCTTATTTTGTGCTTTCTACTCACTATGTTTTTCTCTTGCTGCTTTTTTCTTTTTTCTTTACCTCTGTTGGGGTAGTGAGTCCTCATCCCCTCACCCTCCTACCATCTACCTACTCCTTTTCCATTCCCTGCCACCAACTTGCACAGTTCATGCGTAAGTAAATGCCCGTTTAACTTTCTGTTTTTCTAATAAATTCCAAAGTTGATCAATATCTCTGTCTTCCTTCTGAATAAAAAAGGATTATTGGGCTAGGGATATAGCTCAGTTGGTAGCACTCTTGCCTCGAATGCACAAAGCCCTGGGTTCAAACAAACAAACAAAGAATTGTAAAACATTTTGCATTTTTCTAGACTTCCTGTCTCATCTCTTGTTATTGTTATCTATTGCTTTGGTTCCATCCTGTTTTTTAAACTCACCTATTGGCTACTATATTAATTGTTTAGAGTCAATACTTAGATTTTTGAACATATTGCTCACCATGGCCTTTTTCAACTTACTCTTTTCTTTTGGGTTCTTTTTCTTAAAATATATCTTTTTTTAATTAAATATACTTTAAAAATATATATTTTTTTTAATTTTAGATGTTGATGGACCTTTATTTTATTCATTTATTTATATGCGGTGTTGAGAATCGAACCCAGTGCCTCACACATGCTAGGCAAGCACTCCACCATTGAGCCATAACTCCAGCCCCTTAAAATATATCTTTTCAGTGAGAGTGTAATGGGTAATAGATTCATGATTTGTATGGCTAATAAAAGTCTTTTAATTTTTCCTCTTATCTAATTCCCACCATTCTCTGTCCAAAAAATGTTTTGTTTGTTTGTTGGGCTTTTTTTGGGGGGGGAGGGGGGAAGGTACTGGGGATTGAACCCAGGGGTGCTTAACCATTGAGCCACATCCCTAGCCCTTTTTATTTTATTTTTTATTTTATTAAGTTGCTTAGGGCCTCGCTAAGTTGCTGAGTCTAGCCTCAAACTTGCAATTCTCCTGCCTTAGCCTCCTGAGTCTCTGGGATTACAGGCATACACCATCACATCCAGTTATACATTTGATTTTAGAATTCATCCTCATCCGTTATATTATACTGCTGCCAGCAGAACAAAAGTTGTTGGAGGCCAGGACTAGGTTTATGTTACAGTTCTTGTTGGTAAGTCTTAGCCTGTAGTAATATATTTCTCCTTGCTGGTTGTTTCAGTAATTAGCTACTCCAGGCTGTGTTTCCAAGGTTTACAAAGGGAGTATGTCTCTGACAAATTGATAATATTCTACATATGAGAGAATGTTTTGGATATAGATATCTGAATCCACAGTAATCAGTTGGAGGTAAAGGATTAAGTGGGTGGGGTAAGGTGATATTTGATTGCTTTATAAACCATCTTGAGAATGCCTAAAACCATAAAAGCCCATACTACTTTGAAAATCTCTGTCTGGGTATAGTAATCAGGTTGTAATGTTTTTGTTTGTCTTTTGCTGCTACTGCTATTTTTGTTGTTGTTTGTTTTTTGTGGTCCTTGGGAATCAAACCCAGGCCCTTATACATGCTAGGCAAGCCCTTTACTGTTTTCTTTTTGAATAAAAGCTGTTGAAGAGCCTGTTTGCCCCTAGAAGCCATGAGAAAGAAGCATGACATGAGTTTGTCATTGTTAGGCACATTATGCTTTCTCTGAGCCAGCAGAGGGAGCTCTATAATAGGTTATGAATTAAAATTGCATTACCATCCCAAGTTCACAAAACCCCTTTTTATAATCGGCTTTATTCTAGGTCAAGATCATTGTTTATTTATTTTTAAATACATTTTAAGTAACCACAGCAACACTAGGGCAATGTGTTTATTTTATTTGGTTAAGAGATTGGATACCTCATACTTGGCAAAGGTCAATTATAAGACTGAACTCAGCCGAAACATTTCAAAATAGTAACTTTTCCTTTCCCTTAGTGGTCCTTAACCAGAATCAATGTTCTCTT